TAGGTTACACGCTTAGTCTTGTATACGCTTGTATACTGCACAGTGATAGGTTTATATACGCTCAGTGAGCAGGGCTCTTTCGGTATGCGCTGAGTCAGCAGGTCCCCAAAACATGGCACTTATCCCTTTCCTTATTGGTACATTAGTCCCATTACTATAACCGATTAATTATAAGCCAAGCTATATAGTGATATATAAAGCCGTTAGTTCATATATATTACATATACTGGTGGGAATTAGATTACATGGGTGATTTTTCAAAGCCACCGCAATATATATACAGTGGCTGTTTTAGCGCGTTTATACAGTAGCTGCCGCAACTTGAGTACCGTAATAACCACTATTTTTAATTTGTTTCATTTAACCAATCGAAACGTATTGCATAATTCGGAACAGATGCACACTCTGACCATATGCATTTTGCCTTAAGAAGCGAAACATGTAGATACGGTAAAATAATCAAATCTAACAACACGAGGCAGTATTCATGATGACGTGGCATGACATACAACATATTCAAATAAACAATGCCGTATTTTAATTATCCTTCTATACTCAATAGCTTTTTTAATTCTCAAACAGGAGGCCGAAAATTCAGCATGTTCTCAAAAAATGAAGTGATTAAGTGCCTGCAAGAGACGCCCGATGATTTGTGTTTCCAATACCCGAAGATCAACCCAACTAACAGGCTTTGGTACATCCTCCACGTTCCTGTTGACGAAGAAAAAATTTTTACAGCGGACGGCCTTAAGTGGAGGAACAGAGGCCGTTTTGTACTCAAGGGAAATCCAGAAATTAGTAAATATTATTACCGGCAAATGGAAGATCAAACACTTCTAGAATTTTGGCGCTACGCATACAGCATTGACGCGAAAGATAAAAAAAAGTGTTGGTGCACTATTTGGGACAACAAGAAAATCAAAATCAAAGTGGAAGAGACCTGCACATTTGAACGATGCCTTCAGTCCTGCAAGCTGCAGAAGATTTGTTCAAAAAACCTGCCACGGTCTACAGAAACCTTGTTGCTAAAAGCGAAATTCTCCAAGAAAACATCCCTAGTGCCCTGCCGAGGAACATCAAACAAATGCAGAACAAGCAACACATTATCAGGAAAAAGCTTGCACAAAACACTGATTCGGTTTCGAACGCTTATGAGTTATTCCAGGAGTTGGGGTCGGATAAAATCCATTTCATAAATCTTGCTCCCCATCTAAATATTGGGATGAGCAGCCCAAGCTTGATGAAGGAACTAATCAAGGTAATCCAAGCCGGAGAAACTGTTCAGCTGTCGTACGACACAACATATAATTTGGGGGACTTTTATGTATCGTCCATGATAATGCGCCATCCTATTTTCGAGGGGGAGCCTTCTATTCCCATCGCCTTCTTATTGCATCAGGACAAAAGTACAAAAGCACATACGCATTTCTTTGCCGTTTTGAAAGAGATGTATCCAAAAATGAATTCAAATAAGGTAGTGTTCTGCTCTGACAGGAAAGCAGCCATTTTGAAGGCCCGCTCCAGTATCTTTACCGAGATGATTCCAGTTCTCTGCTGGAATCATTTTAAGTCGGATGTGAAAGAATGGAATCGGAAACATCGTATCACCCCAAGCCGAGCAAAAACGCACCTCAAAAATGTCTGCCAACTTCTCGAAACAGAAACCGACAATTCTTTCCACGAAGAAGTGACAACAATTTTTAGCACATGGGAACCAAATTTCACAAAATTTTTCGAGAAAAATGTGTCAAAAGATGTTCTGGCTAACAATAAAGGACATCTGAAGAAAGTGGGCGTCTTCGTTGAGGGGAGCGGCGTAACTAACAACGCATCCGAGAGCCTCAATGCTGTTCTCAAGAGGATGGTTGACAATAAAGAGTCTTCCATTGATGGCATGATGCTCGTTTTCTTTTTCCTACAAAACTTTTACCTGCGAGAAATTCTTTGGGGTCGCGCTGCTCTGGGAAAGTACAAGTTGGAAGCCGAAGACCTCGCGATGGCGTTTGAAACGAGAAGAGATTCATTTTCCGGTTGACGTAGTGACACCAACGGAAATTACGAACAAAATAAATTACAAACTTCAGGAATTGAATAAAAAAAACACGAAAACAAAAGTGAGAACAGCTCGAATGACTAAACTGGGTTTGGCTTCTTACATTGCAAGGAACAAGGCTATTACGTTCGTGCAATCTTTGAAAACGTTCATTGTTGTTGGATTGAAGAACTAAAAAAACTGTGTTGACCTTTTCCCTACACCGCATTGTACTTGCAGAGCTCAACAAAATTGCTACCACATCCTAGCTGTACAAATCGCTCTAAATAATAAAACAATAATTAACGAAAAGTGCCCTTCGCAACTCAGTAAAGTACTTAAAAGAAATGAAAAACGCAGATTTGGAAGGAAAGGGCCTCCGCCAAAACTAGTTGACGAAATGGAAAATATACTAAATTCGTGTTCTCTCAAAAGAAAGAAACGTTCGCCTGATCTCGCCCATGCATCAAAAAATTTCAGAAGCGCAGGTACGGGAGAAAGAATGGCAAAAGAAGTGCTTCTTGAGGGAAATGAACAGAGTGATTCTTCTCTCAGTTCGTTGATCCAATCTCCAGACAGACTCGAAAATATAGAACAATCAGCCCCTTCAAACACAGAAATGGAAATGAAGCCTGACCAACAACTTGAAGAAGAGAAGCAGTCCACAGAAAAAGAAAATGTATCTCATCACATAGGCCCATACGTTCTTGACGATCACGATTTCAAGAGTCTGGAAGCCAGGTCGTGGATCAACGATAACATCGTTGATGCGTTCATTTGCTCACGAGTGTCGCTCTATCAAGAAAGTGCGTCTTCAGAACAAGCAAGCATGTTCCATATGGACACTAAAATTGTAGAAAGCCTGAAGAAACATGGCATCACTGACCGAATCTTAACTTACGGACTCAGAGAAAAACTTTTAGAAAAAACGTGATAATATGTCCTGTGAACGTTGGAGAATACCACTGGATTTTGTGCATAGTTTGCCCAAATCTCGAAGTAATAACATGTCTGGACAGCACTCATGAAGTAAATAGGCCGATCTTTGAAATGTTGTCACAGTTTTTGGGAGCGCTAAAATGGATCCAACCAAAGGAATCCAAAAATTTTGAATGGACCTTCAATGCACCTCAGGACATCGAGCGTCAAAAGAACAGTTTTGACTGTGCAGTGTACGTCTGCTTATGGGCAGAAAAAGTCTGTGGGATCGATGTAACTCTAAAATCTTCTGATGAAAAAAGAAAATAGGTACATTTTGAATGAGTGTAAAAAAATACAAAGTTGAACAATCATGCGACGTTATTACGAAACAAATTTGGGATGTACTGACATGTTATGAAAAAATTACTATTTCAGCCAAAGTTCCACTAGGGTTGTCATGATTAGTATAGAAATTCATAGTACCTCAAAATTGTTAATATATGTAGAATCGTTGAAGATTGATTGAAGCCGACGGTTTAAAATTCAAAACAAAGCGGGTGTAGGACGCCTCACGCGGGTAGCGAACGGGGCTATAAAAGGAGAGAGGTAGGAGAAGAGGCAGCTGAGTGCGAGTCGGCCAGCGTTCCGAGAAGACATCGTGTTGTGTGCGGAATTTAGATCACCAGAGTTCGAGCGCAGAGCCAGTTGAGTGCGGAGTCAGTCGAGCGCGGAGGATCTTGCCGCACGTCGTTTGTAGCACGTATTCAGGGAACAGTGAATGTTTAGAAAACAATTGTGGTGTTCGTTATTTTCTTGAGTCACGACGTCTCGTCAGACAACTTCAGCCGACCGCGTTGTATATCACCGAGAAGAAGACAACCGACGGAGAAACATTGGAACCGATCTGTCGAAATAGTGGAGCTACTCTGAGTTCTCACGACTTACCATCGAATAAAAGGAACTACGACTTAACTACCGCTTCAAGCAAGTTATCTTGAAGCCGACCTACAACTACAGAGAAGCACCACCCGATCTGCGAGAGATTACTACCCGACCTACGAAGAAATTACTCAGAGTAACCAGTATCCCCGGCGAAGAGAACGACCACGATCGGGCCATCAGCATCTATACAATGAAATAGAAACCCCGCCGGTCGGCCTCGAGGAACACTGGAACGACCAGGGCGCGTCGGAGCTTCGCCGCCAGTTTCATCCAGGACGCTATCGCCTCCACAGACCTCGGGTGATGTACATCTGTGAAAAATTGAAATAGTATTCTCATGGTAGCTACCTTTAGTTGTTTTCCCGCTGTGTTCGCCTCGAGTAATCGTACTGTGCCTGTTAGGAGATAGTATCTAGCTCGAACGCCCAGTCCTGTACTAGAGTAGGATTTACTGTCTTTAAGTATATAAGAGTTGACATGCTTATTTGTATATTTTCCCTTGTTAAATCGCACTGCCAGTAGCAGAGAACTTTCTATGCGCCTCGTTTGACCACTCGGATAACGTAAAATCCAGTACAACCAACCTGACAGTTTAAAATGTTTTATGAAAAAGAAACTATGCCAATGATAAACTAAAAATTGATAGTTTGCCGTGAGTTTTAAAGCGGACAGTTCAAGAAATAGCGTTAGCTAATACCGAACAACGATTATATGCAAATAGGAATAAAAGGAAGACATCCATCATCATCTCTGTTTCGAACAATAAATCCACTTTTATAATCAGTCATCCACTGCTGATTTCTTGGCTGAAATAAGGTCCAAAAAATTTGTGGGTAGGTTTCAGCGCTGTTTTCTAGGAGTTTCGTGCAAGAAACCAACTGACACAACAATGGTATTTTGTGAGGGCGAACGGTGTCGTGACTGGTACCACGTAGCCTGCGTTTCAAACCGTAGGAGGCTACCTATTAAGCACTATTGGCGAGTGCTAAATGTTGTGGTCGAGTGAGGAGTGATTATTTACAGTGAATAAGTAATTGATTCACGTTATTTCATCACTCCGCACTCTCTGGGTTGAATATTTTCTGAGTTATAAGCGACAGAAAATATTAAAAATCAACCTTTTGATTTACTACAAAAACTATCTTATAATACCATTGCTTTTGATCTGCTGACACCAGCAAAAAATGAACAAAATCATCAATAAGAATGTTTCTCAGATCTTCAATAAAAATTATTTAAAGAAATAACTTCTGCTCAATCATACCAATATGCTCTAATCTTGTGCTAAATTTATTTCTGATCATGTTATTTACAAATTTGTAAATAACATGATCAGAAATAAATTTACTTAAGCATGAACAAAACCACATACTTTGATGTATGGCCATGGTCTGTGTGAAGACAATTTGACTTCAGTAATTCAGTCAAATTTGGCCATTAATGTTATTTGCAGGGTATGTACTTTGTAGTACAGTAATTTGGTTTACTTTGATGATTTGTTCATGTGAGAAGTATGAGCAGAAAGCACTTCTTAGCTGTCCTCATTGATTTAAGTGGGACACTCCATGTAGGAGATAAAGCCACTCCATCTGCTGTGTTGGCTTTGCAAAAGTAAGTTCCCAATCTCCCTGCTGTAATTATTTAGCTTTTGCATTGAATTGTTACAAAATGTTACACTTGAAGTAGACATTGTTTTTTATGCAAGTGCCAATAATAAATTAATTTTAAATTTGTATTGAGTTTCAAAACTAAAATTCATATCATAAGTTAAGTCAATGGTGTAATTGTCTTGGTTGATTTCTTCTCCTTAGTTGAAAAATAAATGTTACTTCAAATTTGCAGGCTACAAAATTCTTCTCTGAAGCTACTTTTTGTTACAAATACAACTAAGGAAAGTGGAGCAGATTTGAAGAAGCGTCTGGATAGAATTGGATTTGATATAAATGCCTCCGAGGTAAAATTCCTGGTTCTAATGCTTTAATGTATGTTGTTATTATTATATTTAATAATAACTTTAAGTGTGCTATGCTTATAAATTTTCATTCATAATTCTCATATAGGTAGATAATCTCTCATAATTTGGGTTTTTCTTAGAATTTTCATTCATGCTGATGATTAGTCTCATTTTATACTTCGGTCATTCTTTTGATTAGTAAACAAAGATTTTTTATTGAATAAGATCTAAAAATTCTTCTGTCTTTGTTTTTTTCAGATTTTTAGTTCTCTTTCAGCTGCTCATCAGCTTGTAGAATCTTGTCAGTATCGTCCCATGCTGCTTCTCCAACCATCGGCTAAAGACCAGTTTCCTGGAATAACAGAGTCTAATCCAAATGCTGTTGTTGTTGGACTTGCTCCTGAATGCTTTGATTATACCCACATGAATGCTGCCTTCAGGTAACAATCATAAATAAAAGGCTTTGAGAAGAAATGCATGACTCTTGAAGACTATGCAGTAATTTTGAAAACTTACATTATAGATCTATAGTGTCAGTTTTCTATATATATATATATATATATAGATCTATATGCATGAATCTTGGAGACTATGCAGTAATTATGAAAACTTACATTATAGATCTGTAATGTCAGTATCAGCTGATTTCTGGCTCCTGAATTTTTGATAATTCAAAGGCACATTTTACTTCTGCGTTTCACTTTTTCACTGGGGTCGTATTAAATAATTGTCTCCTGCATTTTGTGATGATTGTTACTACATAGAATTAGAATGGTTAATTTGGCATTCCAATAATGGCAAGAAATATTCAGAGGTATTTTAAACCTGAATATTTTCCTGTTCGGAATTCATTTGTAATGTGATTTGGGTGTTTGATTGCGATTCAATGTTGTGAATTTTTCTGGGTTCATGTACTGTAAAAAATAAATGCCAGAAATAAATTAATAATTTTTTTATCTCTGCTTTACTATGCTCAAGACATGCTCATTATTGATAGGAATGAAAATATTGCCGTATTTTATAAAAGAATATGGATTTTTATGTGATTGTTTTACCATTGTTTCATAAATGTATTTTGACAGACTTATTATGGATGGTGCTCCTCTGATTGCTGTCCATGCTGGGAGATATTATAAAGAAGAAGATGGCCTCTCTCTTGGTCCAGGTCCATTTGTCAAGGCCTTGGAGTATGCAACAGGTATGAAATAATTAATTACTTTTGGATTCTTTTTTATGAGATTTGTTCCTCTACATTTTGAAAAATAATTTCATATAAATAGGGATTTCTCTATAATAGGACAAATTTAATATTGAACAATGATAATTTTGCACAGCTTGGCAATTACGACGTAACAGTATTAGACTATTGGTACTCATTCAAGGTTATTTGCATCTGTAACTACAGGAGATATTTTCCTTGTTTCGATTTTTAAATATTCATCATGTTTCTTGTTGAAGCACAATTTTATGTGCCACATCACTCACTCTGTAAAGTGCCAAAATACCTTGGATGATTTCATAACCACTGGTGTCACTTTTTGCTTCCATTCCCCAGGAGTAACTGCTGAAGTTGTTGGCAAACCTGAGAAGAATTTTTTCCTAGCCGCCCTTGAAAAAATCAACTGCCCTCCTGAAAATGCTGTTATGATTGGTGATGTGAGTATATTAAGACTTGCTTTGCTCTGTGCAGAATTTTCAGTTTCTTTTGATCCAAATTTTAAATTTTTGTCAATGTTTTGTCTCTAAAGTTTGAAACGTTAAAAAACATTAAACTACATGAACTACCTATTGTAATTCAACAAGTTGCTTGTGATGAATTACTATATAACTAGTGAATTCACCATATGACACACTGTACACTACTCATGACTCATATAAAAAAATATAACTCGGTACTCACTGCAGTGAGTGACAGAGAGCGCATTTTCTTGTCGACGAAAACTTGAGGTCACGGACAGACAGACATGGCGAGCACAATAGTGCATTTTTTCCATAAATGAGAAAATGCGCTAAAAATGACGATAAATTGATTATTGTGATTTCTATAAACTCTACAACTTCTTATTCACGCACACCTGAGCCTTTGCGTGCATACAGGACGTACGTGATGACGTCGCGGGAGCCCAGGCGGCAGGGCTGCACGGGGTGCTGGTCAGGACGGGCAAGTATCGCGCTGGGGATGAAGACCTTATCAGCCCTCCACCTACTGCCACGTTCGATAACTTCGCCATGGCTGTTGATTGGATTTTACATCAAGCCTCTTGAATCAAACATTTCTTTTTATTGTTCAATGCACCGTCTGTTAGCTGTCTCTGCTTATCGTTTTGGTTTGGTATAGTAGTATCAGTATTGAATAATAGGCCACGTTTGGCCTGCTGCCGATTCCTTTAATTTTCGTTCCTGTGATTTTCACAGAAGATCTAGAATCTGGCCTTTATATTAAATCTTTTCAAAAACTGGCATTGAAATAAATAACTACTGGACTTACCCCTTGTCAGTGGGGTAATGGACTAATGGGTACCGGTACTTCAAGTTTGAACATTTACGTCTGCATAGCTTTATCTAGTTTGTTCTTGAACGCGTTCATACTCTGGTCTCTGAGCGTCAAGGATGTCATCGGGGTGCTCCTCTGATTGCTGTCCATGCTGGGAGATATTATAAAGATTTTTAGTGCCACATGTCGGTGACTCGAAGTGAAAAGAATTTTTGTCGCATGGATGAGTGTTAAGGCGTTTTTTTAGTTTATAGCCGTGGCCCCTGATGTTGATGCTTGTTTAATATTCTCGTAATTATTTTGTAGTCTAGTATCTATCATGAGAATACTTGTATAACATAACATAACATAACATAGTGATGTCGGCTCTGAAGTGTAGGCCTGATGTGGCCTGTCGCCGATTCTTTTCCATTTCGTGCCTTGTTCATAGATCTAAACTCGTGTCATTTGACCGGATCTTTTCATGACTGGCGATAGTTTGAAGAAGCTACTAGACTTCCCCCGGGTTCGATAAGGAGCTAGGCNAAGGCGAATTTTGAAAAATTGTCACGAGCTAAACATCACCGTTAGGCTCTAATGATTATGTGTACCAAGTTTCATCAAGCTACGTTCAGTATTTTGCGAGATATTCCACGCTCACTGAATTTGGAATCACGGCCGCGAGACCGGCCGTGAGAGAGGCCGCGTTTTTGTCCGAGACGTCTTCGTGTACGGTACTTTGAATTTTGATTGCGCGGCCCCTGACAATTGCCTCGAATTGAGTGATGTCGGAAAAATAGGAGTTTTTCATCGCTCGTCAATGAGAATAGACAGCCCTGTCGGAAGTCTCTATGACGAATATATATTTGTATCCTCATTGAGTAGATCTTTGAATGTATACTACACTATCCAGCACTCTAGGGAATTGGAGTTTTACAAGCAACTCGGTTATTTAAAATTGAATTCTCAGTTAAGATGACGTCTGATGAAAACCCATTTTTTTTCTCTCCTGGGCGCATAATTTAGATTAATTTAGCTATAAATACATGAATTGGAACACAAAAACCCATTCACGTTCCGCATCCTCTCGCCCGCCCTGAACATGACCTTGAACCGCCGCAGGAAGAACAGCTGATTTCCGGCTCCTAAATTCTCGATAATTCAAAGGCACATTTTACTTCCGCGTTTCACTTTCTCTCTGGGGTCGTATGAAATAATTGTCTCCTGCATTTCGTGACAATTGTTACTCAGTAGAATTAGAATGGTTAATTTGGCATTCCAATAATAGCGAGTAATATTCAGAGGTATTTTAAACCTGAATATTTTCCTGTTCGGAATTGAGAGCGCAGCCGTGCACCACCAATTTTGTGCACCAATAAGCCCTGAATCGAACGCCTTGGATCTCTCCGGACATCCACCAATCAGCCGTGAACCACTCTGCTTTGTCTTCATCCGGCCTGACATAGAACCTGCCGTGCACCACCAGGCCGCGGATCGAATCTGACTTCCGGCCATCGTTAAATTACGTAATTTTACGTTCACGGCATCTGAGGTTAGAAGGTTTCAGATAGCGTAGTTCTGTTCCAAAATTTATCGTCCTTCGATAAGTAGCCGTTCGACCGAGGGCTGGTTCGACCCACGGCCTACATACGGACGGCTTGAAGTGTTGAAGGCTACGTTCCGGAAGGCAGGAATCATGATGGTCCATTACATCCAGGGCAGTGGTGGTCTTCGGCAGGCGACCCACCAAATTTATTTTCAAATTTTAAGCATTCGTCAATTTCTAAGTTTCACATTGTTATGATTTCAACAAATGTCAAATAAAAGAGTAATACTCGCAAGCTTCTTCACCAAGTTCCTTTCCTTATTTGTGTTAATGAATATTCGTTTGAATGTATGAAGACACTTTTTGACTGCAGTTAGTTGGTCAATATTTGCTTTTCTTACCTCCGAAACTACCATTTATCTTATTCTGGTCTCTGAATACCTTAAACACAATGACTTAGCGTATCGTTTTCATAAAGTTAGTTACTCAACTTTTGCGGCCATCATCTCTAGAATTACATTTTCATTTTTTTTAATTTTAGAGGAACATTTTGTTAGTTCGCCCTCTACATCTTTTATAAATGACAATCCGGAAGAGCTCAATAGCCCCGCTCTAAAACGTGAATTTCTATATACCGAATTAGTGAAAAGAGAGCGAGGTCGCCCTGTATAGGAGTATATCAGTGCTACTACACGCCTCCACCCGACACTCGATGCTGACCATCGCACCAAAACAGGTTAGGTTAGTCCATCATATTTAGGTTTGATCAACATCGATTAATTTGTAAAACGAGAAGGTATTGACAACCTACTATAATAGACTTCTTTGTAACCATTTCTAAATAAATACCATAACATCTGTGGTATAGCAGAAATTTGGAAATTTTCATAGGAATGATGTTTTTGACCTCATTATTATGAAAGAAAAGATGTTACAAAAACTAAATGGATTTAAACACGATATACCTCGCATATTGGGCGGACTAAGTTACATATGCCAAAAGATTTGTATATTAACAAGCAATATTTTTTTGTTAATCATCAAATAATTCAAATAACTATAATTAATTTCAGGATGATGTTCCTCCCGATCATTGCGTTGCTCTCAACCCCAGCGGCGTCCGACAGGGTGATTTATCCCGACGAATACCTGACGAAGTTCTCGAAGAAAGCCGACAACACAACACGTCATCTCGCTGGTATACAGGCTACGACTCTCATCCCCCACAGGGGGCTGGAGGAGACTATCATACCCCACAGGGGGCTGGAGGAGACTATCATCCCCCACAGAGGGCTGGAGGAAACTATCATCCCCCACAGGGGGCTGGAGGAGACTATCATCCCCCACAGGGGGCTGGAGGAGACTATCATCCCCCACAGGGGGCTGGAGGAGACTATCATCCCCCACAGAGGGCTGGAGGAAGATGGCGACCCACACATCAGCATCGCTGACAGAATCGTGGCTCCTGTCTCCACTTTACCAGGCAGGCACATTTTTTTGTGGAAAACCTTTGATTTTGTGGATTCGATATGAGAAATTAAATCTAATACATTCTGGAACATCGGGAGGTTGTACGATATAAATATCAGGCTAACCCACAGGTCAAAGTAGGCATTGTTGACCCGGTACGTTGTTATTGCAATAAAATCTCTTTATCTTGACCAAAAGTCGGTTTTTAGCATCACTATATTGCTCTCATAGTGTCTCGGCATTGCTCGTCAACAAAACTATTTACGATATTTAACAGAGACAAACGCTGGTAGCAATAATACCATTTCAATGCCCGAGTCCAGAATGATATAACTTCGAAATCTCTCTTTCGAACGAACAAACATCAAAAGCTACACGTGTCTAGTATTCTAAAAAAATTAAAAACTATTTTAGGCTTGATTTGTCGGAATTGTTATGAGATTTACAATACCCTGATCTATCTCTATCCATGTCACTGATGATGATGATGATGATGTCACTCACGATCTTTCTATTGCCCTTACTTAATTCAGGTAGTGTTCATCCAAGTACGCTGGTACTTCTGGCAGATCGCCCTTCCGATTCTGCTAATCCTCTGAACATAAACATCGGTAGTAATCCATTCTCCAACATAGGTGGAAGTCCTTCACTACCGCTTGGCAACGATGACAATTCTAGCCAGGATGCAAATGTCCGTCCTAGTCAACCCCTGAGTACTGGTGCCCATGCTGGTCCACCTCTGAGTGCCGGCGTCCATCTTGGTCCACCCTTGAGTACCAGCGTCCATTTTGGTCCACCACTAAGCACTGGTGTCCATACTAGTCCACTGCCGGATACTGGTGTCCATCTTGGATCACCACTGATTCACGATGGCGACGCTCCGTTACCAGGATTCGGGCCAACTTTCGGTGCACTGAGTCCGGCTAAGCCCACCCCATGCGTGCTCCCATGTCGCATCTCTTCAGTCGAGTCCTCTTGTTGCGGCACGAAAAGGCAGAACCCAAGCTACGTGTATACCAAGCCTGGCCTCTGCCCTCCAGTGAGGGTCGGGTGTCCAAACGTTCGGATGGTCGATACGCCTTCCTGGTGCTTGTATGACGCGGCATGCGACGGGGTGGACAAATGTTGCTACGACTCCTGCTTACAGAGACAGACGTGCAAGCCCCCGCTTGGAGTGGGGCGATGAATTCTGTATATAATATATTTATTCCTATTAATATTCTCTAGACCATGGAGAGAGACAAAGATGCGCTATATAGGGAATAGTTATTTGTGGTCACATCGTACAGGGTTTATTGCCATTGTTAAACGAGTGCCAGTTTTATGTAGATAGCAATCATGGAAAACTTGAAGTATCTTCAGAAAAGCGGTCAGGTAACAATGAACGAAAACAAATACTTATTTTTCGTTTTTAGGTTCTCTTTATTTATTTATTTAACTTAACTTCATAATGCAAGCTCGAATATCCTGGATATTAATGAACCATAACGGTTACTAATGCGCTAAATGTGTTTATATTTTAATGCCTTTTATAAATTCATGCTGATTTTTCAATAAAGAATCCGTTTCAACCTTCGACTGCTTTTCTTTCCCGCTGTTCACTTCGGAACTTCGTTATGATACATGGAAGTAGTTTAAAAAATGAAAAAAATTAGATAAAGAAAAACAACCTCATAGTATATATTCCACGCAGTTTTTCAACATGTACCAAACATAATTTATGTGATGTTTCTGTTTTATTCATCTTTTATTTGATTCATTCCCCTATTTCTATTTCATTTACTGCGCTTAGTTGTTAGGTAAGTATCAAATTTTATGAACAGAATATTGGATCCATGGACACAAACCAATAATGAATAGGAATTTTTATTAGTAATAAACTATATAAATTGCGTCGCTGGAACTTCACCAGATTGTAACTTACATCTCTACTAATAAGAGAAATATATCATTGGAAATTAACAATATAAATGTATTCTTCTAATAAATAAAAGAAATGTTTTCTATAGAATAACATTTTCTTCGTATCAAGAAGATTGTGCATTTATAGAGTAAAAAAAATCACAAGCAACAGTAGCACGTCATTGAAGAACAAATGCAGGATGATAGGGGCATTCAGAAACTATATTTATATATTATTTATCTGATACAATTTGATATATAACTATTAGCAAGCCCTAATAGTGGACGACATTATAATGATTGAAACTATACTTCAATCTAATTCATAAATTGTATAAAGTCCATTTAGACTCAATTAAAAAATTTAAATCAATTAAAATGTATAAACTGCTCCCGATTGACGTAGTCTCATTGGATTGCATTTAAACTACTTGCGCTGTGCGATAAACTCATGCTTGCTCGCAAGTGGTTGTACAACATGAACGCTTTCGTGTAGATGCAACTTAATACGATATACGTACTTAAATGATTGTTATGGTTATAATTGTGTTTATCGTTTCGAGAAATATATTAATTGAAACTCGTCGGTAGTTATTATTGAGACATTAAACTAAAGGTCATTGTCACGAGAAACTCATAGGTACCGCATTATTGATAAGGTGAAGACAAACAGGGATAGTTGTTTTCATCACGATGATGACATCGCGGTAGACTTGTTGCTGCGACGAAGACAAAAGAATAGACGAAGATAACAAGTGAATAGACTTATGATGAAGTCAAAGAAACAAATTTATTATTACAGCAAAGACAAAGGAACAGACTTATTATTACAACAAAGACAAAGGAACAGCCTTATATTAAAACGAGGACAAAGGAACAGACTTATTATCACAACAGAGACAAAGCAACAGACTTATAATTAAAACGAGGACAAAGAAAAAGACTCATTTTACAACAAAGACAAAGGAACAGACTTATTATTACAACAAAGACAAAGGAACAGACTTATAATTAAAACGAGGACAAAGAAAAAAACTCATTTTTACAACAAAGACAAAGGAACAGACTTATTATTACAACAAAGACGAAGGAACAGACTTATAATTAAAACGAGGACAAAGAAAAATACTCATTTTACAACAAAAACAAAGGAACAGACTTATAATTAAAACGAGGACAAAGAAAAATACTCATTTTACAACAAAAACAAAGGAACAGACTTATTATTATAACAAAACAAAGGAACAGACTTATTATTACAACAAAGACATAGGAACAGACTAATTATTTAAACGAGGACAAAGGAAAAGACTTATACGCAGACAAAGGAACCGACTTATTATTACAACAAAGACAAAGGAACAGACTCATTATTAAAACGAGGACAAAGGAACAGACTAATTATTAATAAAGCGAGGACGAAGGTAAAGATTTATTTTTACAACAAAGACAAAGGAACAGGCTTATTATTAAAACGAAGACAAAGGAACAGATTTATTGTTACTATGAAGCTAAAACATGAGACTTATTTTTAGGATGAAGCCATTGTAGTACATCTTATTGTGACAATTGGTATATAAAAGTGAACGTTATTGTTACGATGACGACATAGGGTAGACTAAATTTTTACGTTGAAGACATTGGAGTAGACGACGTAGAAGATTGTTTCGACGAACGCATTAACTTCATTAAAACGATTGTTTCTGATATTGTAAATTATTTTGCATGTGTTTACAGATTTTTGTTACGAAGAAAAATGATGGTAATTATGTTAACTCATGTTTGATAATGAGTAGAGCATCGTAATGCTGTTCAAACCAGTAAAGCAAAAGAGACGGCAATGAAGACTAAAAATTAATTGTTAAGAAAAAACATGACAGTAATCCAAGGATTATTTCACTTATAAAATTATCGCATCAGATTTTAAGACACCTCAGCGATAATTAATGTAAACTAAATATGTAACGTTCAAGTCAATGTACAGGGTGCGGCGTGGGAACTTACTCTTTTAAAAAAATCACAAAGTAAAAAGTATTAAAGATAGCGTTTTAATTCTTTCTTTTTTACAAAGAGCTACATTTAAAGTTTCGTTGGGTTTACTTACAAGTTTAATTCTTGAATATTACATCTTGTAGGTGACCTCCATGTGCCACCTTCCTAGGACTAATGGCCGCCACGTGGCGCGCAATTCAAATAAGTAAGTTCCCGCGCCGCACCCTGTATAATTGACTTTAATTTCGACTGCATTGATGCAAATATAATCGCATTCGTAAGCAATATTTCGTAATTATTTCGAGACTCGCGGAAGTATTGAACATTTAGCGAATTTTTAATTTATTGCAGAGATTCAAAAAGTTGCAATAATGTAAATCCTGTCGTACTTATTGAAATCTTATAGCGGTGACTCAAGGACTATTGCTGTAATACGTATAATGATTAAAATTCTGAATGCACAATACTGATTGCAAAGAAGCGTGGATGCCTAACGCTATTGCGAATCATGTAGGCATTGCAGTTCACTGCACACCGCATATGATTCCATTCACTGTATTCGCTATGCGGCATGGCAATAGTTTTACTGCATTCACTGCGCGGCATGTGAATCGATTCACTGCATTCATTGCGCGCCGTGTGCAAAGTGATTCACAGCATTTACTGTGCGAGAGATGTGAATTGATTCATTTCGTGCGGCAAGTGAAAGTATGCATGGTGCGATACATGTGAATACATTCGATGCTCTTACTGTAGCAGTAAGTGAATATGTTTACTGCATTTAATACACGCGGCATGTGAATGGATGCAATGAATTCACTGCACGTCGCACATGAATCGATTCACTGCATTCACTGCAGTGAATCGATTCATGTGAATGAATTCACTGCATTTACTGCACGCGGCATGTGAATGGATGCAATGCATTCACTGCACGTCGCACATGAATTGATTCATTGTATTCACTGCAGTGAATCGACTCACGCGAATGGATTCACTGCATTTACTTCACGCTGTATGTGAAAGGATTTATTTCATGCATGCAGTGCACTCACTGCGTGCGACATGTGAATAATTTCGCAGCACGCGGCACGTGGAAGGATTAACACCTAATATCAAGGATGCCCGCCCATGAAACAAAAGCGACAGCGTTTCTAGTTTCGTTACAATCGCAGGAAACTGAAGCGTGACGCCGATCTTCCGGTTTCCTGATCACGAAGTTTCTCCCTACGTCTGGCCTTGAAATTAACAAGAGTTATCAATTCCCTAATAATAATAACCCTAATAAAGGGTAATTAACTTGAATTATGTTTTGGAATCAAAATTTATGTTGAGAGATCGGATTAATCCGAATTGCAGGGGAATTATACTGGATGTGCATTAAGAATAAAACTTGAATGAGTGCACTCAAAAATTAAAACTTTAACTCGTGTGCACCAGTTGTTTGATTATATTATTAGTCAATAATGAAATAATTCACAGTTTTAAGTATTATTCAGTATAGGGCATCTTAGAGGATTGAGGAGTGAATATATGTGCAAATTTTGTGCTGCAAAATTGAAAAGTGGAGAGCAAATTCATAACTTCGAAGTACATGCTATGAATGCGAACCCGAAAATTGAAATGTAAGAAATTTGATCGAAATTCTACTACATATAGCAAAATATGTTATTACGCATTTGAGAAGTGCGCAGTATGTACTCCTTATCTGAACATAGGAAGCAATATATCTGCTATGTGAACAGTTTACGGTATCCGCTTCCAGTTTTCTCCAGCACTTCGTTTTCTTGGAAGCGCTACGCCAGTTTCAGCGCCAGACGATGTCGTCCGCATATAAAAAAGACTCAAAACGTTTCCGCATTTTAGTTCCGTACAGCTTCTTCTCCTTGAAACTTCCCAGCCTCCCAATGTCAAATAACAGATATCAGTCCTGTTAATTTCGCTGCCGCCGCCGTGTATATAAACCGCGTGTGTTCGAGCCCATGTCAGTTCATTCCCGGCTTGGACGGCAATTGGCTTCTAAATTTACAACCAAAAAGGTAAGATTAAATATTAATAGGAAATGTTTTGTATTTTTAAAATTATTTGACATTTGTGTTGAAGAAAATCTGTTTATGCATAATTTGCTGCAACATGAAAATCACTGTAATAAATTGATCAATTTGATAAAATTTTCAATTTGGCAAAATTTACCGGTAATAAGAGGTGTGAAAAGTAGACTTAATTAAAATTATATTACATTGTAGCATATGGTAAGATTAAGTCTGAATTACTCCAGCAAATTTAAAATTATGATATGGCATCATCATTCTGAATATTAGTGAATAATCTTGTAAATAAAAATATTTATTCACACTTGATCACTCTGATTACTTGTCAATAAACATTAGAAACTAATACATTTCAATAATTAAAAGATAATAACGCTTAAAATGCATTCTTTCCTCAGTTGCATCAAGCATGAAAGCAGTAATCCTAGCCCTCCTGCTGGCGGCCGCCTATGTCGCGGCTGAGACGCCGGCCGCCGAAACACCGGCTGAAGAACCGGCAGCAGCCGACGCGGCCGCCGCCCCACCCGGAGCCGACGCTCCGTCAGCCGCTGCTGCGCCTGCCAACGATACACCAGCGACCCGGTCACTATTTGGTCCCGGTGGGTTCGGTCCTGGAGGGTTTGGACCCGGAGGCGGATTTGGAGGTAGACCAGGTTTCGGTGGTCGTCCTGGTCACGGAGGACACTCCGGATTTGGAGGTCCCGGTTTTGGTGGACCCGGTTTTGGAGGACCTGGTTTCGGTGGACCCGGTTTTGGTGGACCAGGTGGCTTCGTGAACACCCCTGCACCTCCTGCATCCTGCCGGTTCTGGTGCAAGACTCCGGAAGGCGCAGCTTACTGCTGTGAGTCCGCTAATGAAATCCCGACCGCAGTTTTCACGAAGCCCGGATTCTGCCCGCCCGTCCGCGACACCTGCCCTCTGAGATCAAACTTCGGACCGCCGAGCACCTGTGCCAGCGATGGCAAGTGTTTCGGCATCGACAAATGCTGCTTTGACAGGTGTCTTGGGGAGCACGTCTGCAAACCCCCGCATGGAGTCGGACGGAAGTAACACGCTACTTAAATTATTTGAAATTCACTCTTTCACGTCATGCATGTTAGCCTAATTTGAAATTCCTGTAATTTATTTTCTTGACAGTTAAAATGACAGTATATTATTTCTTATTACGTTTTTTTACTTTCTAAGCGTAGGCCTACATTTTTCCAACATTTGCGTTTTGCAGCGGGAAATCAATGGAATCTAGAACTATACGGTCATAGCTGTATCTCTCATTGCTCGTATCTATTTCAAGTCTAAGACGAGAGTAAAAATGAGAGTTGAAAAATATGAAAATAATAATAATAATAATAATAAATAATAATATTAGCAATTTCAGCGTTTAGTAGGCCGTAGGCCTATCGCCGATTCTTAACATCGCAGAACATTCACAGCATTTTGCGGTCTCGAACTCGCAACTCACTGCTACAATTCTGCTGTGCTTAACCGCCCGGCCTCCTTGCCGATTCTGACCAGAAACTGGCGCACAGAGCTGGGATCGAACCCGCACCTCTCTGCTCCAATCTTGGTACTCTGAACTTTAACCACTGGGCCACCCTGCCTACCTAAATATACATAGTTAACAGAAAAATTTATACATTTGATCATTGAAAATAATTCCGATCATCCGATATTTGCGTTTAAAACATCAAAAGCTATTGCCGCCGGGCCTATTCATCAATGAATGATTTAAGTAGAATGGATTAATTGCAAGAAGAAAATTCATCTGGTCAACAATAACAACACGAATCTACTTTTGAACCGAGAAGCAAGATTATATAATTAAATTTGGTATGAATCGAATTAAGGTAATAACATAGCATCGGTTAATGAAAAATTTAGCAGGATGCTTTCAGGTAAACAAAGTATCATTCATCGCATTCCACAGGAAGCTTCCAACTCACCATTCTTATCCGGAGTTTCTTAGAGAGAGATATAGCCATCCTAAAAACATAGGTGCTCCACTATTAATTTTTATTTAGGATAGGCACGGCCACAAACGAACAGGTGCATGGTATGGCGGGAATAGATAGAAACTTCCATTACTGCAAACCTTGAGATAAACGAAAGTGTTTCCAGCCGTAATTTATTCGGTTATCACTGCTACACCAGTTGATTCTGCGATTCTCTGAAATGTCTTAGCAACACGCTGGTAAAGTGAAATGAATTTATGATACTTTTTAACAGCAAGTGTTCCTCTATAAATTAAATTTCATGAAAACGTTTTAAAAATGCCATTAAATGATGTAAATATTCCGTGTATATCTGATTCTTCTTCTAGAAAATATCGAGATTTGAGAGATAAAACTTTTTCGTGCAAAAAATCTAAATGCAGGTTCTGCTGACGCCGTTTATTCACGAAAAAGCTGTATAAGTAACGATCGTTAATGGTGGAGTGGAGTATCGGCATAATACATCACATGGAGCAGGCGATCACACCATGGAGATGTAGAGGTATAATAAATCATATGGAGCAGGCTATCGCACCATGGAGGTGTAGCGGCATAATGCATCAAATGGGGCAGGCTATCACACCATGGAGGTATAGCAGCATAATACATCACATGGAGCAGGCTATCGCACCATGGAGGTGCAGCGGCATAATACATCACATGGAGCAGGCTATCGCACCATGGAGGTGTAGCGGCATAATACATCAAATGGGGCAGGCTATCACACCATGGAGGTATAGCAGCATAATACATCACATGGAGCAGGCTATCGCACCATGGAGGTGCAGCGGCATAATACATCACATGGAGCAGGCTATCGCACCATGGAGGTGTAGCGGCATAATACATCACATGGAGCAGGCTATCGCACCATGGAGGTGTAGCGGCATAATACATCACATGGAGCAGGCTATCGCACCATGGAGGTGTAGCAGCATAATACATCACATGGAGCAGGCTATCGCACCATGGAGGTGTAGCATCATAATACATCACATGGAGCAGGCTATCGCACCATGGAGATGTAGCAGCATAGACTATCATGAACCTTAAATGGCAACGAGGAAATAGTTCGTGTAGTGGCGGATGTGGCCAAACTCAAGACGGCATTCAAGGATATCGCCAGTTAAGAAATTAATATATTCACCAACACGGACTTGAATCTTCGGACGAAAGCGACTTAACCCTGCGGAGAACCGTTGTTTTTCGCTAATTTAATTAAATACAGTTAATCACTTTCACTCTTAGTTTCCTGTTAAGTCATTAATATTGATGAAAATCATATGGGGGTAGACTGTCTCACCGTTGCATTAGACATGTCATTCGATAGGATTATGGTGAACATGAATATGCTCTATATACATAATGTATCTATTTTGTATTTGGAATATTATTTCATATTTAGTGTTTGAATGCTACATAATGTTGAGAACTATCTTTACATTAAAACATGGATGCAATGTTCACAGAAAACATACGGAGTTCTATTAATGCAGAGGAAAATACAGAATTCAACAACTTTATTATTAGTATCCACTTATAATAAAACGGCAATAAGCGTACTATCCGAACAATTTTTCCTGGAACAATAATTATAAATTCAGCTCATTGAAAATATAACCAACATCAACACATATATGAAATAATTACGTTGAAAAGTTAGAATCATATTATAGTTGAAATACGTAGCGCTCCTGACAACAGTGCTCATGACTACCATAAATGAATAAGGTAAGAACCTGTTCCATGAAAGCATGTGAATGTTGCAGAGATCTGTGCACTCATGAGGTGAGTGTCAAGTGAGTCCAACGCGCGGACGCGGGCAGACTGCCAACACCTTCTGGTTTGGGGCTGTGATCCTGAACTGTGGACGTTTGCAGCCCAGTTTCTTTACTGAAAAAAAGAAATTGGTCTTATTATCCAAATGGAATAGAATAGAATAGAAGTGTCGGCATTGAAGAAATAGGCCCATGGCCTGTTGCCGATTCTTAAACTTTTCGTGACTTGATTCACAAGGGATCCGGCCTTTGTAACCCGATCTTTCCATAATTGACATAATAGTGACACATTTTCTTACCCACGGCACGAGTAGAGAACGAACGTAGCACAGCTAGATACGCATTTTTGCCTGGTCAAACTGAGTCAGGATTACCCACATAAAACAAAAGAGAACATCGATGTTTAGGTAATGTTTAATTTATTTCTCTGAATTTGTTGAAGACATATCAGAAATTAAGCAGTTAATTTGCGTACTTTTCTGAACTTTAATTTCCAGATGAAGTCAACGTGTAACTCTAGTTTGCCTCTTTCTCTAACTTCATTTAACTTCATACCCTTGGAGTCCATCTTCATAAACTTCATACCATGTCATTTGAGTCCAGCTTTCGTCTTAAAGTTGGCCTGCCAAGATCCGGACATAAATTCTAATCAGCGGGAGCATTAAGACGGGTGGTTACACTTTCTAGAGCCCCACCTAGATTTGAGCGCCATTTCTTTTTTTTTTGGCCGAGAACCCATTAACCTTTATTCAAGTTTATCCATCATTTATTAAAATTGGAACAATACTGGATGCCAGTTAGGTGAAAGGTTTGAAAGGTTTTCAACATTCATGATGAAAGTAATAGAAAATTCATACAAAATGTATCCTTAGTTTCAAAGTTGTTTTCACGTGCGTTAAAGAGATATAGCGCTTTAACGATGTATAACGATATAATTTATACAGTTTTTGATATTTTTTTACGGTTATCAACTTATACCGTGGCCACGAAAAATATCTGTAATTAGGAAAACTATTGGGATTTATATAGCAATAATGGTTTAAACGATAGTTGAAATAACAACAATACATAGCAATTTATGTATTAATTAGGAGCTAATGGACAATACGGTCCCCACGGCAGGATGCTCGCGGCTTGCAAAACAGGAGTTGGCAACATGAAAAACAGGATGCTTGTGTCTTGGCTGGTACGTAACCGTTTCTGTGTAACGCTGTATTAATAATACGGCTATGAATCACCATTGATGTTGTATATATAAATAAATTAGAATGTTATATTCATGTAACGAGTCGCAGCACGTATTCACCAGGCTTAATAACAATGCATTACTGTGCGTGATGCACTAGCGAGCAATGTCCGCTTCTACGTGTACAAATTATTCAATTAAAGTTTTAACGACATTATTACAGGTATAGACACGGATTTAAAAAAAATACACAGAAGTAAATTATATGTCGAAGATTGTCTTTATTGCTCTAATGTTAGTTAGAAATCGGATATATAAAACAAAGATTATTAAGTATATAATTCAATTGTCCAGGTGAACAGGAATACTGGTATAAATCACTGTTTTTAATAACACCTGGAAATAAATTGCAGAAAATATCTACCATAAAAAATTTCCTGTGAACTTATAGAAATACTAATTCATTATTTTTATAAAACTATTGAATATTTTAAATGTGCTTCAAATGAACCATTAAAAAATCTTTATGAACTTACTGTTTAACTTAGAATTAATTACTTAATAAGTTTTAATAAAATAATAGTTTTTAATAATTATTGTATATAAAACTAATAATTTTAAAACTTAAGTTTCAATAAATCTCCTCCATGTACTTTATTTACGACGTGGCCCCCCTTCAACAATACTAAACTCAAGACACTCACGCTTGAAAGGCGAGAGAGAAAGTTTATTCTTTCGGCACAGGTTTCGCTCCACTGCAGAACTTCATTTCAAAGCCTTCATTAAACTCAAATGACTGTTAACCTTCACTGTGCAAAGCGTACATTATACTTAACTGACACTTAACCTTCACTGCCCATAGCCTTCATTATAATCACGTGATACATTACCTTTCCCGTACTTCTGGGTTCAGGTTCACGGTTCATATACACATGACTTGAACCACCAACGAAAATGCGTCACAAAAATTAAACTATTTTTTAATTTATTTCCTTGGTATTTATGTTATTTTATTTATTGTATTTATTAAAAATTCTAGAAAATAGCATTGAAGGAAATAACGTTCGTGAAAATGACATCGTCGAAAATTGCTTTGCCATATTCAACGGAAAATATTTCCATAAAAAGTAAAATGCCAGCCTAAGGAATATGAAATTGAGTGCTTGGATTTAAAATCATTTTAACTAGTTACGTAACACCCAAAAGATTCAAATTTGTCCTCTAAAAATAAAATTGAAATCATTCTTTTACGAATCATTGACGTCATTTATCCCTGGGTTAGCAGCTGTTTTCACATCACCTAATCTGATTATAAACTATTTGATTAAATGAGATTTTGAGTGCGACTACTCTTGAATTTTATGAACCTCAATAATTTCATCCAAAAATTCGTATCATCAGAATTATTGATTTTTATGCCAAGTTTAATCGAAAAACAGCTAGTAATTTAATTAACATCAAATCCATACCAATATCAATTATTAAAAAAAATAATAAAGCGAAAGTTGATTTACCATGAATATCCAAAGCCATCTTGCACCAACACTAATAATATTCGCCAAAATATCATAATGAAGTTTTTTAAAGTTTCCATAAAGGCTCCTGTGTCCAAATATCCTGACATTAAAATAAGACCTCATTACTGCACAACCGCAACCCGTCTCGTCACGCTTCTAAGAAAACATGTGGCTCCGTGCAATTAAACTGGACTGTTTATCCTTTTGTTCATTGCTAAACCGGACTGTTTATCCCTGGGAACGTAATTAAACTGGACTGTTTGTCCTTTTTCGTTATGTTCAATACTTGTTCGTTATGTTCAATACATGTTCGTTATGTTCAATACTTGTTCGTTATGTTCAATACATGTTCGTTATTTTCAATACTTGTTCGTTATGTTCAATACTTGTTCGTTATGTTCAATGCATGTTCGTTATGTTCAATACTTGCTTGTTATGTTCAATGCTGTTATATATACAACTTTCCTCTGTCCATATATGTAATGTGCGGTTGGAACCATTCTCTGTTCTATAATGCTATACCTACCAGACTCGTCAGATAATGTTATTCTGTAATATTATTCCTTCTAAACTGTGATGAGTTAAAAAAACTTCATGCACAAGAACGTTCGTCGTTCCGGACTTCGCATGCAGGGGCGCGCGGGGCGTTCAAGGCTGAGCGCTGCTGTGCTCGCGTTTCCCGACTGCGTGAACAGAAGCAGCAAAAAGCCGACTGTAGAGCACGCAAATATTTGCTATATTTAATATTTTTATTTAGTTAACTAATAAAATTATAATTTATACCTTGATTGTCAGGAGCTGCAAAAATCCGACTGTAGAGCAGGCATACATTTGCTAATTTAATATTTTTATTTAGTGAACTAATAAAATTATTATTTATAGCTTGATTGTCAGGAGCTGCAAAAAGCCGACTGTATAGCAGGCAGATATTTGCTATATTTAATATTTTTATTTAGTTAACTAATAAAATTATTATTTATAGCTTGATTGTCAGGAGCTACAAAAAGCCGACTGTAGAGCAGGCAGATATATGCTATATTTAATATTTTCATTTATTGAACTAATAAAATTATAATTTATAGCTTGATTGTCAGGAGCTGCAAAAATCCGACTCACATAGCAGGCAAATATTTGCTAATTGATATTTTTATTTAGTAAACTAATATAGCTATTATTTATAGCTTAATTGTTGCTGTAGTTGATATAACTTGATAAACTTTACGACAGTGAATAGGACAGGAAATAAATTGAAGACAAAAGACAAAAATAAAATTTAAATTTGTTCTATCAAGTGCGGTAATTTGTGCTTATGTCATGCCTGGCTATCAGCTTAGAGGCGCGGCTCATTAGCAACTGTTTTCCGCGTCCCAAATCTCAGTGGATAAAAAATTCTCAAATCCAAAAATTCCGTTGACCAGCTAATTTACGTTACCTCGATGTCACTGGATAAGTTCAACACATAAGTTGATTATAGTCGAGCGAAGAATTCAATTCTTTAATTAAAAATCTCAGAGTCTCTAGAAAACTATACTTTTAAAACAATCCTTCGAGCACTGTTTTTAAAATCATTCTTTTCATATAAGTCCCCCTCTGTCAGCCTCCCCTAGCCAGCCTCCCCAAGCCAGCCTCCCCAAGCCAGCTTCCCCAAGCCAGCCTCCCCAAGCCAGCCTCCCAAAGCCAGCCTCCCCAAGCCCGCCTCTCCAAGCCAGCCTCCCCAAGCCAGCCTCCCCAAGCCAGCCTCACAATCAACGATCTCCTCATGAGTGTTCATAATTCATGATGTTTTTACACTCACCATACGCAGGCGAGGCTGCAGCACTGGGTGCGCGTGCAGCGTATAAAAGGAAGCTGGACGGCCGGTCGTCACCTCTGTACAGTACACGCTACACTTCGGGTGACAGGTGTGTGCTCTGTCTGCAGCCTAACTAGAGACAGGAGGTAGTGCACTCGAGACAGTATAATAGGTTGCGATACAGAAGGTAGTGCACTCGAGACAGTATATTAGGTTGCGAGACAGAAGGTAGTGCACTCGAGACAGTATATAACCGATTGCGAGACAGAGGGTTGTATACGAGACGGTAGGTGGAACTTATCGTGAGACAGAGGATAATGAGCTCGAGACAGTATAGCCGATTGCGAGACAGAAGGTTGCAAAAATAAGACAAAATGTGATCTTTATAGATAGACAGAATGTTGGAAATACGAGGCAGTACGTGTAACCTATCGCGGGATAACAAGTGTGCTTAATATACAAATTCAATTTGTAGCCTAAATCAAAAGGCAAAATTGAGGCTACAAAAATTAAAAAAACATTTGCCAAAGCCTACACGGCAGAGAACGCTGTTACGAACCACCATGTGAACTGTAACATTGTTAAAATCTTCAAGTTTATTCAATTCTAAGATATTAATCATGGACTCAACGATAAAATTTATTCCATTACTATTCACTTCATTTAATTTCAGTAATTTTTCTTCAGGCTCACGAATGATCGCCCAACGAACAAAAAACTTTAACATATTATTCTTTCAGCAAAGGCTGACGACCTCGGTCTAACTTGTTCCAGTAGAACTTAAGTAAATCATTAATTAAACTAATAATTCAGTTTACTGAATAATTTCAATAAATCTTTACTGACAGGTCAAGAGATTATCGGATCTTCATGAGCAAGTATTGCAGTTTTTATGCAATAAACTTTAATTTTTGTAATAATTTTATTATACATTGGTGCAACGTCAATGCAAGAAGTTATATCGAAGAATTGAAAGACTTTAGTAAAATCCGTATTAGACTCATTAATTTCAGTGATGCTAAGATAAGACGAATCGCAATGTTCTAAAAATAGTCCCCGTTTGTTATATTTGATCTTAATTTTACCTGATTTAACAGTTCGAATTTGTATGTTCTCAAATTTTGTTATGGCTTATCCTGTTGGCGAGAATTTATCCTTAATGTGCATATCTTTGTAATATACACTAATAATAATTTATTAGCGCTACCTATTCAACTCACTTGTACTGCTATATAGTATTTATTAGTTATATTATTTATGATGTTTATAGACTTATAAGTGATGACAGCAGGGTTAATGAACTACTGATTGTCTGCAGAAATGATAAACTTAAGAGCCCTCATCGTCCTGCTGGCAGCGGCAGCTGTCACTGCAGACTCAACGGACTCCAGCACAACTGCTGCACCAGGTGCTGCAGCTGCAGGTGCGGATTAAATCATCAATTAATCATAAATAATCAATATAATATGCCGTGTATTATTATCTATGTTGTATACGGACATGCTTCTTCATAAGATATAATACGGACGTTGATTGCTGCTCCGAGTGATGTTTTCTATAAGATTTATTACATCAGAAGTATGTTATTGACTTCGGCTCTCTCTACGCGTTGCGCTAGGTTGATAAAACTATATTTTATTATATAATTGCAAAAGCTTCTATACATCTCATTATCCTATTTGTATAGGATAATATTATGAAATTAATTACACTAACGAATTCGTAATTTTATTCATTATTGTACCTTATTAATATGATATTGGTATAATAAATCCTTGATATTATATTAAATTTTGTATTGCATCATTAATATAAATGCATTGATAAATAAAATAAAATGATAGAATCAAAGTTCAAAGATGGTACGCATAAATCAAAACAGAGTGATTCTATTCTATTCTATTCTATTCTATTCTATTCTATTCTATTCTATTCTATTCTATTCTATTCTATTCTATTCTATTCTATTCTATTCTATTCTATTATGTTATAGTATATTCTATACAAAAATAAAGTTTTTTGCTAGAATCACAAACGAGATATTGTTAAAAATTTTAGTCCCTGCGAATTACTGGATATATTTTTCCTCTATTATATCTTGCGTAGAATAGAATGCAATGTAATTTCGCTCCTTTTTGCTTGGCTTTAATTGAATAATTTCTCCAATCTTCGTTTTTCAAACCGGAATGGTTTAATAAAAAAATTAAACAGAGCAAAAATGTGGTCGCAACCCGTATGAAATGTTAATACCTAACGCTAATTTCGATTTTTGATCTCTGCTAACCAAAGCAGCCAATTTTTTAACAGCAAATTTTACAAATTTCCAGACCCCTCAACTCGATTCTTCTTCGGCGCCTCTCCCGGAGGCCTGGGTGTTGGCCTCGGTGGAGTCGGACCTGGACAAGGCTTCGGAGGACAGCCTGGCTTTGGGGGACAAGGTTTCGGAGGACAAGCTGGCTTTGCTGGACAAGGTTTTGGTGGACAGCCTGGCTTTGGAGGACAAGGTTTCGGCGGACAAGCTGGCTTTGGAGGACAAGGTTTCGGTGGTCAACAAGGTGGCTTCGGTTTTGGAGGACGACCTGGATTTGGTCAACAAGGATTCCGCCCAGGATTCGGTCAAGCCGGATTTGGCCAGCAAGGATTTGGTCGACCAGGATTCGGTCAGCAAGGATTCGGCCAGCAAGGATTCGGACAAGGATTTGGTCAGCAAGGATTTGGCCAGCAAGGATTTGGCCAGCAAGGATTCGGACAACCTGGATTCGGACAAGGATTCGGTCAACAAGGATTTGGTCAGCAAGGATTCGGTCAGCAAGGATTTGGCCAGCAAGGATTCGGACAACCAGGATTCGGACAAGGATTTGGCCAGCAAGGTTTTGGTCAAGGACAAGGTTTCCGGCCAGGATTTCAGGGCGGATTAAACTCTGGATTTGATTTGAGGTCCAACCCTTCAGCCACGACATCTGCTGACGCGACGGCAGCCACAACTACGGCATAAAAAATATTATTATTTAATAACATTCAATTATGTGAAAACAAAGATCGATGATGACGACAAATATTACACTTGTTTAAATTGGGATGTTTTATGTTAATCCTATGGTAATTATAGGTAATTAAATAACATTAATTGATTGAAGTGACTAGCTATCAAGACTAATTAAAGTTGACCGATAGAGATGAAAGTTACTTTTGAGTGATAGCGATGAAGGAACAAGTTCGTACCGTGTACGCACACAGGCGCCAGCGAGTGATACAAAAAGTTAACTAAAATATCTTGCGCAGAGTAGAAGGAAAAAATTTAATGAGCCAGGGAGTCCATCCACTGTAACGATGATTATAAAACACGTGCTTTACACTTTAAAAATGTGTTTTTTTTCTAAGTCTGTGCTTAATACGATTAGTTTACCAATAAAATGTTTGCTCCTAAATTGCGACTGTAAAGTGTAACATGACGCAATGGTCGCAGTATTATCTTTAATTTAGGAAATATGAACATTAAAGTTTAAAACAAAAGACAGTGGATCAAATTATGCTTAAAAATGATGATAGGTCATGCGAGTAATTATGAAAAGTATCAATTGAAATGAAGTCAATTACCTAAAAAGCTAATTAGCACATGAACAAATTTTTTTGAATGCAGGCACCTATTTTTTTTAGTTTAAAAACGCATCAGCGAATCAATTTATTTTAGAAAATTTCTGTTTAATCAAATTTCTTCAGCCAAGAAGTATAAGCATCAAGTTTTTAAAAATGTTGCCTCGATTTCTTCCAATTAAATTTATCTGCAAAAAGTTTATGTTTCTCAAGTTTAGAAGTTAGCGTCGTAGATGTGCCTGGATTACTCGCGGGGAACTTTAGGGCTCCAAGTAACCGGATTTGCTGGGTAAAAAAAATCATTTTACGAGTAGAAAAACTGGATACGATACTCATCAGGCGATCGTTCGCTCCGAATCGAGGAGGGTGACTTCTAAAGTTCGTGTTGGGAAAATAACAGGTTTAGCACGTCAGAGTTTTTTCAATAAACGCTAGCCTTACGTTCTGATCTTACAGACCTGAAAACTTCGCTGCAAGGATCCTTAGAATGGATTAGTTTCAAATTCATTCGTGTTTTCCGCTACGGTAGCTTAGACTGAATTATTCAAGCCGAATTTTTTCGCATATACTATAAGAGAATAAATTATTCTATATAAGAATATAGAATATATGTACGCTCATATATTCTCGAGTAACATATGCACCAATCATTTACTTATTAGCTAATTAGCAATAATTCCATAATAAAATATCTAATCGATGCATGGCGCTATTCTTAAATTGTCGCTTTGAAATAAACAACGAAAAATCTCCGCTGAAGCATAAATCAGTCGACGTTATGACAATGAAAGTAGATATATTTTATGAATATTTTCGGCTGGAGAGAAAATTGTTATTCCCCGTTTGAATGATATTTTTCTCTATCCGTTTACTGTATTTAAGTTTAACAAGGAAATTGGTTTAAGTATATAGGAGTGAAACATTCGCCTGTATTGAGTGTTTCCAAAAAATTTAGATTTCAGAGCAGAACAGTTGTAATAGCTTATATTGATTAGATTGATAGACCGTGGCTCTCACTGGTAGGGGAGAGCGCAGGCGTTAAAAATGTTATCAGTTGCGAAGGTGGCACGGCTAAGTGAGAGCTGAGTGGTTGATAAGGTGATACTTTAACACCAGATTTTAAATTTATTCATAAAAAACCTACAGATTAATGAATGCTCTAACTGAAAGATGGCTGGGCATTCGTCTGCCTTGTAAAAGGTTTTGGTGTAATAATGATTTCTAGAGCGAAATAAGGGTTTCGTATAGGTTTATTGTACGAAACGATGCTATCATATGAGCATTTTGCGCGAAGACGTGCGGGATTTAATTTTGCATAAGTTCTAAGTAAGATTTTTTACACGCAATTCATCCAATATCGCGTTCTGACGATACTGTCAATGAATGTTCAGTCGGCAAATTTCAAACAAATCAAGAAATATGGGTCGATCGGGAAGTATAATTCAAACCGCTCACAGTTTACGAATTTCTGTTACTATAACGCCCAATCGTGCAGATATTTTGTTAATTTGCAATATAGATCATTCATTCTCCATGCAATAATTTACTGGTCCTAACCGAATGTATGTAGGATTATAGAATGATAATCAGGAAAGGTTATCACGAACTAACGATCAATCATTCTCCAAGCAATAATATTCAGGCACTAACCAATATTAACTATACTATATACAGGCTATTAACCAATAATAATTAATAACAATTTTAAACTATATACAGGCAATTAATCAATAATAATTAGAAAAGCTAATCAGGAAAGGTTATGTGGGTTCCAAGGTTGGGCAGCTGAGAGACTGTAAGGTAGCAGAGATATAAGCAGACGTGTGGCGGGCTACCGCGTACTGTGCTGCTACCTTCAGGCAAAGGTAGGAGCCTGCCTTTCTTCTCTGTGTGTTCATAACTTGTGTTATTTGGAAGCTTATGCGAGTGCTTTTTTCATATTTTATGCTATAGATTTTCGTTAAATTTGTGCATACGATTGAATATGGAGAAAGATTTAGACAAAATTTAACAACAGCCACTGTAACTATATATATATATGTGTGTCTTTATTACCGTTAGGATGTTTAACGGACTCGTTAATGTCCTTGAATACTAAAAAAATTCGTGCTTCAATAATAATGAACAATAAAAAATTGAGCTTAAAAAATAGCATTAATCTGTTGTTTACTCGCGGCGCAAGCGAATTTGTAATCTCGCAATAAAACGTTTTGGGAGAAGATTTGTATGAACACTTGAGCAGTGCGTGTGAGATGTGCCGACACGAGCCTTCATATTCAGTTCTAAAGCATGGAAGTCGCTGATGTCGGCTAAACCGGTTTTGGATTTATGATCTCACCATCAAAAGATAATATTTTTCAACTTTTCAGCCATGGAGTTCATTACAAAAAAGTTAATTAATTGATTGAGATGCTAGAATGAAAGTAAGAATTTGCCTCTATGTCGATAAAGATTCGAAAGGCACCCTAGAGGTCGTTAGCTATGAAGATTAATGTTCGAACCTACTTTGTGTTTATTAAGTAGGAGGATACGCTGTCTTTGAAGCTTTCATTTGAAATGAAAAAATAACTGTCGTGAGCTTGGAATTCATGAAATAAGATAACTTCTGAAGACTAAATTGTTCACCTATGACGAAGGTATTGAGAGAAGAATTGGTATGAAATAAGGAATGGACTGAAGTGAAATTATAAGCGATTCATTCACACTTACTGGAATGAGTCAGTTGCACACGCAAATATAATACGCCCGAAAACTAAAAATATATCGCGTTTATGTGAATTTATCACGAATAATTTTTGTTTCTGTGTGAGTGCTGGGCGAAGTGTGTGTATAACACTGTTAACACACTTCCTTATCTCCATACTGGGCGATCGGATCTACCTGCCCTGTTTTTCACATTCAAAATCTTTCAATTTATTGGCAACAAATTCACTCCAATTATATATTCTTAGAGTATTGTTAAAAAGAAAACACTTTAAAACAATAGTTGTTCGTTCTCTTTTAACTTTTTCCCTCCCACATTACTTATGATTTGATAGAAACTGCATGGCTCGTCATCTTGAAATACCAATACGGTATTACATATTATATAAAGTACGGTAGCATACGGTATTTGCATTGTCGTATGCTATACGAACAGTAATAACTGCTTAGGAATGCAAGAAACCAAACAATCGATGATGAAGTACGAAGAGGTGACGTCTCGAGGTCGATTGAATACGACGCTGCCATCGTCTCGTGCGCTTCCTGTCGCGAGAGCATTTCCTGTTACACTGACATCAACAAAAAATTTCGGAATTATTCGACAATATTTTAGGATAATGTTGACATGTTCTTTACCCTTTCACGCTATAATGGCAATTTATTTAACCATGAAAGATCAATTAATATCTTTATTTGTTATTAATTTCGAAGCTACCAGCCATTGCTGTAATTATGAAGTAAATTTTTGTAGTTTTGTGCAAAATTCTGACGGTGACTTGTTCCTGCAGATGAAGTCCCCGCGCTGGATGATCCTCGTCGTGCTCATAGCAGCGGTCGCTGCAGACGACGATAACCTCGGAAAGTCTGCAGATGGCGCAACGGCAGCTGCTGCAGACGTAGCAGCTGCTGCAGGACCTCCTGCAGGAACTCCTGCTGCAGGGGAGCAGCAGACCAGGTTCGGTCCAGGTCTCCTGGGTGCAGTGGTCAACGCAGGTGCGTCGCTCATCAACTCAGCCCTCGGGGGACAAAGTCATGGCCTCCATGGACATCACGGAGGCGGTTTCGGCCATCGAGGGGACCAATTTGGTGGACATCAAGGTTTTGGAGGTGGAGGTTTTGGTCATGGAGGACAGTTTGGACCTGGTGGCCATGGACACTTTGGGGTAGCCCGGCCACCTCGTCCAGGAGGTTTTGGAGGATTCGGAGGAAGACCGCAAAGGCCTGGTGGGGTATTTCCGGGCGGTAGACCATTTGTTCCTGGTGGATTCCAACATGGAGGATTAGGTGGTCACGGGGGTGGATTCGGAGGTCCAGGAGGTGGATTTGGTGGTGAAAAAGGAGGATCATGTCCCCCCGTGCGAGCATCGTGTCCTACTCGGTCCAACATCGGACCGACGCCATGTGCTAACGACTTCGGCTGCCCTGCTGCCGACAAATGTTGCTTCGATACCTGCCTCCAAACGGCGGTCTGTAAGCCGCCTGAGCCTTTCCATGGATGAACATCGAAAAGCTACTCTTGATGATTTAATATTTTATTTATATTATTAGCATCAAGTTTGAATTTATGCTTCAAACTTGTTATTACCTATTAGTTTAGGTATTAATTTTTATTAAAATATTTTCCAGATCATTTTGTATAAAATTGTTCCTATTTGTGTGTACATAGCCTCAAATAAATTGACAGTGAGTAATTTGGAAGCAGCAAGTTGTCAAAATAGCGAATTTGCGAAACGAATAGTTTTTATATCTCTTTACGTATAAACGTAGTGTTTAGCCAAGTACTTGCAGGAGTAGACGGTAAAATTTTTCAGATATTCTGCTGCCGACAAATGTTGCTTGACAAAATATTTTACAATGACTGTAAATTTGATTTTAGATTTTTCAATTCTTTTATTTTCCTTAAATAAACATTCCTATGTGCAGCGAAAATTTTCTTTTGAACATAAGGATCACGTCAGTTAAGGATATTTCCCTATAGATTGAATTGGTGACTGCAACGCTTGGTCAGTACCGATCCAATGAAGTCGAGTTTCTCATCACAAACAATAAATTATTTGGATTATATTTCAGAACAAATTGTTGCTACAATTTAAATTTTTTCTAGTACAGTTACATGGATATTTTTGTGGAATTTCAAATTTTTCTAAATTTAAGCCAGGCTCATATTTTGATTGTGTCGTAAATTTCGTACGATAAAATGTTTATCGTATAAGAATGTTCAAGAGTTAGTGCCACAAGACATCGTCTACGATATGTATCTGCCAATAATTGATCAAGTTTGATACCCCAGTGAGTTGATTATTTGTTCACCAGACTTTACGTGCAAATATCATAATGAACACTGGATTCCCAATATATTGGAATAAAATTTGCAGCACCTTCTTGCGTTGCTGGGGATAATAAATAGACACAAATATATTTTCCTAATCGCATTTAATTCCTTAATGCGTCATGACAATAAATTAGCAAACGTGGAATAAATATGGAGAATAAATAAGGAAACAGGAATAAATCGCAACAAACCGGGAACATACGAAATGACAATAAGTTTGTTGATTTGACTCACAATTGGACGCTCGGTAACACAATAATAACAACTTTTCAGTCAATGGAATTCGGTGATGAAACACCGAAGGCGTTGGGAGGCAGCGCCATGTTAACGGCCGACGGGATCTGAAAAATAAACCATTAGATTTTAACTGGAATTATTTCTATGTAATTATATTTATTAGTATGTATTTACGTGATTGCACTTTCTCCTTGAACCCACGTTTATCGAAATGGATGACAATGATTATCTCTCAAAGACATTTACCTAAATATAAACATTTGTAATTTTGTATGGTAACGAATTACTTTCCTCTTCACTGAAGATCATTTGTTAGTCTAAGTTAAAAAATTTTGAATTTTAAATGCGTATCAAGTAATTAGATTATTTTGCATTTTTCCCATTCTCAACGAGATTCATATCCCATGCTTTATATACGTACAGCCTGGATAGCGTCCGGGACGGCGTCCAGGGTATACACCGGGGTAGCCACCGGGGTATCCTCCAGGGAATCCTCCAGGGTATCCACCAGGGTATCCACCAGGATATCCACCAGGATATCCACCGGGGTATCCTCCAGGGTATCCACCAGGATATACACCGGGATATCCTGGTGGATATCTACCATGATGATGGGGATATCCCCCGTGGATTAGGTTATCCACGATGGCTCCAACAACTCTGTAAACGCGAGAATATTAGAATTGAAAAATTATAATGCGAATTTAAAATTTGCATCTTAAAATTTGCCAGCAATTTTGGTAAAATAAATGTAGAAGTCCGAACATTAACAATCCCTCCTGAAATATTTCAGATATGAATCGCACTGGTGAAAATTTTGAAATGAAATAATTCTGTGCATCAGAAAAAAATCAATGATTTGATGATATCCAACAAGTTTTTGAATTTGTAATTTTTTAATCCAATGATATTTTGTGAATTAATTTGGAAAATTTCATCCAAAACTAATCATTAATACCACGCGCTGAGGGTAACTAAAATATTCATGAATTAGGTATCCGCATGACCATAAGCTGCGGGCGCGTCAATTTAGTCAATGGAAAGGACAATTACGTAAGTGACGGGCTTCTTGTTCATTATTAATTGTTCGAAGATAAATGATAATGTTTAATATAATATAATATAACATAACATAACATAATACAACAAATATTGCAACACTCACCCAGGTCGTCTGTATCCTCCGCCTTGATGGGCAGCTGCAGAATAAGTCTGGGCTCCGTCACCAACAACACCGAAGTCTCCGCCGGCCGCCGTTGGGTCGGCGATGACTTTAGTGAAAATTCCCGACGATTCATCGCCGGAGACTTGAACAATCGCTGCTTGGCTGGGCAGGGCAAGGCAAAGTGCCCCCAGAGCCGCCAGAATTAGTGCCTTCATTCTGGAAAAGATCAAAGTTAGTTCATCCACTTCGCTTTTTATTTCAATATAATGTATAATATTATATTAATTTTTATAGTTTTGCGGGAATGGGACACCGTTTGACGTAAAAAGTTACTAAATTTGTTTCTCTTCTGAAAAATTCATATGTTTAGTAAGGTTAGTGTGCTACAATTGGTTTTTTTGAAAAATGTACAGAGGACGCTGATTAAAAATTTGAAAATTAAGTTATATTTTTGCCCAGAACTTTGGAAATTTTGCTTAAAAATAAATAGTTTGAGTTTCCTTAAGACTTTAAAACTGAAATTAAAAAAAAATTCCTAGCTAAATGCCAGTTTTACATTTTTACCATTCGTTCGTTTCAAAATTCTTTATACTGGATTCGAAATGGGGGATCGCAAATCGCAATGGCGGATTCACGATGAAAGGATTTGGAATAATGAGATTCTCAAATTGCTTAGAATATTCAAGATCACTGACCGGGTAGTTTCAATTATACCTAACCTAACTCTAAATCGTGTCCCCGTATCTTTATTTTCGACCCTGAAATGCAGTATATTATGTATATACATACTGTAAGTTGAGTGAATGTGGGGTGGCTCGGCCACAAGCCAGTTACCCTTAAAATTGCTTTGTTAGAAAACGATGATTACGGCATAAACTTCTCTATTTTCCTGTTCATGTCGAACCTCATAGTTCCCATTCTATGTATTAATTATTATCTCAATAAACACATACATTAAAAGCAATAATATCGTCGATATTTCCGTATAAGTATTCCAGGTTATATTACAGGCTGCATTCAGTTTGTCCATATAGGAGTGCTCTATTTGAACGTCATTTTGCAGGATCTTACGTATTGTATATTATGATAATAAGTAATTCACGATTATCATCATAATAAGCAAATTTCAAAAAATATTACATTGTATATTTCAATGAATAAAAAGCAGAATGAGCATGCCAAACGAAACACTTTTTATTTTAATTAATTGGAGCGAAACCTCAAAACAAACCTCTCGAAAAAGACAGCTTAACCTGTAAGTCCGGTTAAAGTTCATCGCTGGCTTAATCTGATGCATCATTTTTTCTTTGATGTACCAATTTAACTTGCCACCGTTGACTTAAAATAACACATCGGCTAAGTCTGCGGATGTCCTGCGCGTTATGTTCTACCTACTTGGGTTAACCTGCTACCCGCTTTAACCTGCCACTTTTGGTTCGCCAAGACTAGTAAAACATTCCGAGCAAAGCCTCATTAATCTGACAGTTTGTTATACTTTCTATTACATGTAAATAACTCAACATAAGGTGTCAATAACTCAACATATGGTGTCAATAACCATATTTTGGTTATTAATTGACAAGTTATCAATGAGTCGGTTGAAGTATAGCGGTGGTGCAGGTTCTAACCTTGGGCTGACTTTGACCTTTACATGGCGTAGCAACATGCTACTCCTTCGTTATATTCTGCCTGGCTGTTGTATTGGTCGCACGTCTGGCAGGCTGACGATCGCTCGCCAGGATACTGACCCCAAGCGCCGGTATTCATGAATATTCAAGAATATTCAGGAATATTCGGGAATATTAAGTAATAATCCAAGAATATAATGATATTATTATGATTGTAAGTAATATCGTTCTTGCATTGTTTCACTGCACTGATATTCTCTATTAATTGATTCATTAAATGTCAGGATTTTCTTTGATTATTGTAACGGGTAATATCTTCGTGCGTTTAGCGTTCCCTTTAAAAGGAAGTGTTGTCATTACTTTTATCGAATCATAGGATGTAAATAGCAATCATTTGGTAATATGTTATAGTAAAGGGTTTCATTTAAATATGGCTGTCATTTTAACTCTCTATACTCCGTAGATGTAACAAATAATTTAATGAACTTAACCGAGCAATAGAGGGCGAGATTTTGTGAGTGCGCGATGACATGATTTTGCGTCTATATTTTTTCACAAAGAATTTTAAAAATATGGCAAACCGCGATAAAAAATACCTCTTATTCTGCGAGAAAAACAGTTTTTTTTCATCAAGAAACATAATATGCAAATAATATTGATAAAAGAAATCAAATTATTATATTATATTATATTATATTATATTATATTATATTATATTATATTATATTATATTGTATTCAATTCTATTCTATGCTATTCTATTCTACTCTACGACAATTTTCCATCCGCAACAAGGCCTGGGCACACAAGTTCAAGTTCATGTTAACAATAAAAATACTTCTATAAGGAGCGAGTTTGCGATCACTTTGCGGATACATTAGAAACTTCAAATGAATTTTTTGAAGGGAATAAGCATGAATAAGGAACTAAAATCATGTTATGTAATGATTATTTAGCATATAATAATTATTCTTTTCTTATCACGACACTCGTGCTTGTAGCATTCATTATTAAATCAGTGTCGCCTTTGGTATAAAATTTTCAGTTTGAAGTTTAATTTTCATCTCTCATTCCGGTCCCTAATGCGTGGCGGTCATGGACACTAATTACAACGATCCTTTCATTGATTCCGACTTGAAAAAAATTAGGTAACTTACAATTGAGTTTAGAGTAAAATTATTTGGTGGGACGAAAACATTGGTATTATAAATAGGGGAATTAGTTAAAAAAATTGCCTCCGGCCAGAAAACTGATATCATCAGGAGACGAGAGCTTCTGTTAGAAACTTGACCAACTTGAGGAGAACATAAAGAAATTGCCTGAAGAAATTTGAAAATATAAACTAACATTTTTCTTGTAGGTATAAAAACCTTTAGGTATAAAAACCAAAATGAATAAATTTCTAAGATATTAAAGCAGTTGTTGCGTCGGCCAAAAAACAATAATTGTTTCGTATGTAGAATAGTAAATTTGAATTCTATGTTTGATGTGATACAAGCGAAGTTTCAATACCTCTGATCAATACATGAAATTTAAAACTTAATATCAAGTGAATAATTTTTATTAAGAAGTTGGAAATTTTGATTTTAAAATGTCGAGGAAAGAATCACACATTTTTGGTGAATGTTCTGCAAACATCAGATGAATTGCCTTGACGTTAATTCAAGTCGTTATAGTGCAGAAAATTTTTAAATAACTTCAAAAGATCAGGAAGAAAGTGCAATGAATAATTTGGCATTAAGCAATTATACCTTTAATTATCACAAATCAAAACGGGCAGTTACGTATTTCAACATCAATTAATTAAGTGCAAGAAAATTACTCCATCACTAACCCAAATTTTTCTGGCATGAGAAACGGTGAAAAATTATTGAAATACATTTATTGCAGCGCATGGAACAAAAATACATATCGAGGAGAGTATGAACTAGACCGTTGACCCGTGAAGCAGTGATGCAGTAAACTGGGAACCAGTTAAATGGCCATGCACCTGTAAACTGGTTACTGCAAGCCAGTTAAATGGCCACCTGTAAACTGGTTACTTCCAGCTGCAGGGGCCCGAGGCGGCTTCAGTACTCAGGGTGGCAGCTTCCAGAATAACGTCGAACAAAATGTCAAATTGGCAGAACGTACATTTTTATTAACTTTAACGGCCACAAATACTTGTTTAGACGTCATTATGATATTATTGAATTGTCGTGAATTTATCTACGAATGAAATTTTTATAGGTTCATTAATATAAAAATTAGAGTTTATGTTATTATGACGTCGGCTTCATATCTTCAACTTTACTGGGTCCTATGGTTTCTTCGATTGTCTTCAAACTGGCATCCAACTGGCTACTAAATGCATTTAATACTCCATTATTAAATACAAGAAGTTATCCAAGGTATCCTCCTGTCTTATGTCATCCTCTTTATTTCCTAAGCTCATTTACCAGCCTCTGATGTTTGTCACCAAATTTCCTATCAATTTCCCTGTTATTTTCCTACCAATTTAAAGATCAGAAATTCAGTATTTTTTGTTGAATTAAGCTGGTTACATTCATGCAGCCAATGATCCTGAGGGGTCACTGCCCCACAAGAGGCACCCTGAAGGGCACCTACCCTCGGGCGAACGAGCACTCGGAGGAATGAGCGGAACTTTGTCTTCAAATTGACGAACATTCTGCTTTGTGTTGCTTATTCTGACACAGTTTGGTCAGGCTAAAAGGGCGTATCAGTGCTACGTGAAATAAATATTTCATTATTTAGACAACATATCCCAGTGAGGGCTCCGTGTCCGGGGTAGGGTGGGACGGAGATGAGGAACAAATAAACACGAACTGAGAGAATGCATAAATAAATACAATTAATAAAGTATCAGCGAACAGTGAAAATTACAAAAAAATGTAGAGTGTTACAGAGGGAATCTAAATGATGTACTGTGAAGTTAAGGAGGACAAATTAAAGATAATAAACGATAATTGATGAATGTGTTACAAAATTATGTTATGGCACGGAAATGATCGTAACAACGTGATATCAAGAAAGTAAAGAGTGTGAAATATGTCGATATACAAGAATCGTATAGGGAAAAGCGATAAGACGATCTAGATCTAAAAGCGATAAGCGATTGACGATCTAGGTGATAATTTACACGGTCAACGTCGAGCAGGCTACAAAGAGGCACAGTTTTGGAAGAGAAAAGTTAAAAATAAAACCAAAAATAAGCAGCGTGAATGATACTATCGACCTATATAAGTGTTGTTCACAGTATTTGTGAAATAGTGCAGTAAAACATAAATTCAACATATAAAACAGAATAGAAAATAGACAAATCAAAAATTAAAACCGAAAGAGACTATAAATGATCCTGGTTAATACTTCTAGAAAAATCGACCGCCTATGGTCGGCCATCTCTGTGGCTTCGGATCTTGCCTTACAAATTTTTAACTCTTTGTAGATCGTTATAAAACTGGTTTCCCATTAATTTGAGGTTGGGCAAACTATTAACTCCAGATTTTTTGCTAGCTTAATCCGTAGATCTTCAGGCTGCAGGCTGGATGGAATGTCGGCACACCCAAACAGAAGTTGTGTGTTGTGGGTGTGGTTTTGACAGGTATGATGGTGTTGGGTAATTAGCCTCATCGATCTTATTGAGGTATTCTCTAAGCATATTGGGCATTTCCCTGCCCTTCACTGCGCCAATGTACGCCTCATGCCTCGGTCCAAAGTCCTCTATGTTTCGTTTACGTTATGTGCTGATGCGTTTAGAATCTTGTTGGGTGTTCTCGACTCTATGATATCTCTCGACTGCGGTGTTATGCAACGTCTTCATGTTTCTATTTACCTCCACGCTGCTATCGCTGTTATTGTTGTTGATGCAGTCGTACACTTTTATACTATATTCACTGTTGTATATGGTCTTTTTCATGAGTCTGATTGGCTCTTGATTCATCAGATTTCTCAGTGGGTGTTCTTCCAATTTACTCTTCTCCCTCAGTTGCGAGGCCGCCATCTGCACGTGGTTCTTCAGAGGCAGGACAGATGTTTCGTCGTGAAGATGTTGTGCATTGGTGTCGCGTGTGTGTCCTGTGGCGATTCTCAGGGCAGAGTTCTCAACAGTTTGTATTTTCTGACAGCCACTCTCTGATGTTATGGGATCCCATAAGCTGCTTCCATACTCCAGAACTGGACGTATCAGCGCCTTGTAGGTTTGTACAATAGATTCCGTATCTTTTCCCCAGTCAGCTCCAGATAGGGCTTTTAATATGTTGATGTTTTTCTTTGCTTTGCTCGCAGTGCTTCTTACATGTTCAGAGTAGGTCATCTTTGGATCAAAAGTCACTCCCAAGATTCTCGGATGCTTCTCCATTCCCATCGTTGTTCAACTCACATTGAGCTCCAGGTTGGCGCTGTACTGCTTGGGATCCGGTGTTAATTAATAGTGTGACTTAAGTTTTTTCCGTGTTAAGCAACAGGTGGTTGTTCTCTATCCATTCTGCAAGGCTGTTAAGGTATGTAGTGATGTTGGATTTGGCCGTCTGTAGATCTTTATGACTTGCCAATACCGTGATGTCGTCGGCATAGGTCACCACTTCAATTCCCACTCCTTCTTGCGGTGTTGGTAGGTCCGACATGTATATGTTAAACAGTACTGGGGACAGCACTCCTCCCCGAGGTACCCCTCCATGAAAGTTTTTTTTTGTCTTGACTTGCTTCCGTAGTAGTCCACATAACCTTTTCGTCCTCTTAGATAGTTTGATAGGAACTTAACAATCTGTTTAGATATTGGTGTTAGCAGTAGCTTTTCTATCATGCTTTCATAATTGATTGTGTCGAAGGCTCTACTCATATCCAAGGCCACCATTATCGTTCGATTGGGAGGTGCCTTTTCATTGAAACCTGCACAGATGACATCGTTTATTTTTTGCAGTACCGATGTTGTCGAATGCATTCTTTTGTATCCATGTTGGTGTAGGATATTGGGGATGTCCCTTTCAATTTTGTCCAATAGAACTCTTTCCAGTATCTTCACAATAGGCGACAGAAGCGAGATCGCTCTGTAGGACTTGCCGATGTTGCGATCTTTTCCCGGCTTTGATATGGCTATTATTATTGCTAATTTCCATTGTTCTGGTATGTTGTTCCTGTTG